CCCAGTCTTAGTCTTGTAATTATACTTTCCTCCCTCCTATTTCTCCCACTTTTTCTACCTTTTCCCACTTTCTTTTGCATTGCATATAAATGTCTCCCTTTAGTCTCATTATCCCAATACTGTTGCCACTTTTTAATCACTTTCTCCTTTATTACTGATTTTATTTCTCTTATAGTATGTGATAGCTCCATTTCTACTATTTCATCATCTACTGCTTGCTTAGCTCTTCCGGTGCTTCACCGCTGAATGCCAGATTAGAACGCGATGAGCGATCCAGTCATACGGTGCGTTCCAAACGGGATATATCGCCCTCCGAAGGGCACTCCGGAGTAAAAACAATCATGGCCGCCATATTCCAAACCGAAGTGCTCAAAACTGGCCACTTCAAAGGGCCCTTCGGAATGAAGGATTTCAAAGGGTACAACTGATGGACACTTCGGGCCCCCATGATTCTTTGCACAGGGAAGTTGTTTGGCGTCACAGAGTTCGACTTCACCTATAAATGTATGTATAGTATTTTTCTATACTACTGTAATATTTTTACAAGTTAGATTTGGCACATTATTAGAGATGGTCCTCACTGCAGAACACAAGATCCAGGGGGCGTGGTTGGATCCAGATCCAACTCCTCCCACCTGTGAGCCAAAATCATCACAATTAAAAGAACCAAAGACTTAAACTACTTCAGTCTGTGTGCATTGAATTAATTTAATTCACGAGTTTCACAATTTGAGTTGAATTACTGAAATAAATGAACTTTTCCACGACATTCTAATTTATTGAGATGCACCAGTAGATTGAGTGTTTGATACTCGAAACCACGATCAGCAGTGCAGCGATTGGCTGGCAGCAAGACAGCAACGTAATGACATCATATAGCCTAATTAAAAAAGATACGTGCCGAAAAACTTGACAAATTTCTGGACCTTTATAAGGAAACAGCCAAGTGATCAAAACTACAAAAATGTTATAATAGATAACTGAAATGTGCACTGGTTTATTTTTATTTTACATGATTCTCAATTTGTATATTCACGTTTACTAGTATGTGTACAGGCTTTACATTTTTATTTCAATGTAGTAATTAGCAATTCATGTAATTTTATGTTTGAACAGATTTGTTATGTGACAGCATGAATTAAATTTTCTTAAGGGCCAAGATCACGTTATCTGCATCTCCTGCGCTCCATCAGGCCACTCCCACAATATCTGTCAGCACTCAAATTAATGCAGGACTCAGATTAACTGTACAGCATGTGTGTAAAACTCTAATACAATTATGACGTTATTATTTCATCACTAATAAATCTTTCAATGAGTAAAATTGGCTGTGTCTATAGTATTATAGATTACCCAACATTATAATATTATTTTCAAATAAATGTTTTAATTATTATAATTTTAAATGATTGTCCCTGGATTAGTAGGGTACACTTGTAATAAAGTAGTGGTGGTAGAGGACAGATTTTAAATATCAATTCTGCTTAAAAAGATGCAATCTAATCCTGTTTACATTAAATAAGCCTGCTCCCGAGCAGGTTTAAGCTTACAGACCTGTTGCTATGACAGCAACTCCGGGATGAGCTTCGAAAAACCAAACTATCCAAGATCATGCCAAATCGTCAACAATCAAATCCAGCTAACTGAGTTAGCAACGTATGAAGAACTGGCCCCAGGACTTGCTGTCAGATTTCAAAGGGTACAACTGATGGACACTTCGGGCTCCATGATCCTTTGCACAGGGAAGTTGTTTGGTGTCACAGAGTTCGACTTCGCCTATAAATGTATGCATAGTGTTTTTCTATACTACTATAATATTTATACGAGCTAGATTTGGTACATTATTATAGTCAAAACGACCTTTATACCTTTATCAGTCCATTCAAATGTTTCAAATACATAGACACAATGTACATTACAAATACATTACATTAAATAACATTACATATACAAATATACATTATATTTAACGTAAAAGACGACTGGGGGTCAACAATGTACAAAATGTATGATGAAGGTGCCTCCTTTGATAGTCTCGTTAAGATGACAAAGAAGTGCGTTCCAAATAAAGAGTTTTTTTGACCCCTACACGCTCTCACTCCGGAGGGTAAACTCTTTGAAGGGATTAGGGCATAGGGATGAGCCCTTCCGAATGGAACGCAGGGATATATATATACAGGTGCATCTCAATAAATTAGAATGTCGTGGAAAAGTTCATTTATTTCAGGAATTCAACTCAAATTGTGAAACTCATGTATTAAATAAATTCAATGCACACAGACTGAAGTATGAAGAACTGGCCCCAGGACTTGCTGTCATAGCAACAGCTCGGGAGCATCTTATTTCATGTAAACAGGATTAGATTGCATATTTTTAAGTGGAATTGATATTTAAAATCTGTCCCAGCCACTGCCACTTTATTACAAGAGTACCCTACTGATCCAGGGACAGTAATTTACAATAATAATAATTGAAAAATGAATACAAAAAATATTATAATGTTGTGTAGTCATCATCTACTATAGACACAGCAGGTTTACACGTTGAAAAATGTATTCGTGATAAAATAATAACTTCATAATTGTATTGGAGTCTTACACACATGCTGTACAGTTAATCTGAGTCCTGCATTAATTTGAGTGCTGACAGATATTGTGGGAGTGGCTTGATGATCTTGACCCTTAAGAAACTTTAATTTTTTTCGTTTTCAGAAATTTGTCAAGTTTTTCCATCAGGTGTCTCTTTTCGTAGTTTACACAGAGAAAATAATGCTATCGTTTTCAAAAACTTGCACTTTGAAAGCCCATTCTCAAAAGTTGGCATTCAGGCCCTCAAAACAGTGTCCTGTAAACTAATGGCCAAAATGCATACATTTTAGAAGAGATAACACTTTGTTGTATTGTGTTCATCATTACAGGCAGAATACTAAAAACAACCATGAGCCAATTAAATAAAGTTTGACTAAAACTACCTATAATTATTACAGGTGTTCAGTACAGGTGACCTCAGCTGGTCTTGTGATCTTAATATGTCTGCCTCTTTAAACAACCTGCTCTATGTAGGATGAAATAGCTTTAATATTATACAGATACAGATTGTACATGATTTAGACCTCATTAAAAAAATAATAATACTGTCAATTTATTTATATCTAAACCTATTTTGAGGAACAAACTGAATGCAGAAATTACACACATTACCATTTAAGTTGCTATAAATAATTTCTACCAAATTGCTACTTTAACCACACCTCTTTCTCTAAAATGCCGCCTGCATGTTCAGCCAACTGGCTAAAGCAGTGTGCAGTGTAGTGTTGGCACATAAAGATGGGATTTGTCACATCTATTTCAGTGTTTTTTCGAGGTAGTTGGCACACTGTGTACGCGTTATCCGCATGAAAGAAGATATAGCGGTCAAACCTACACCAATAAAACGGTGTGTGTAAACCATAGACTGTAAACATGTCGAGCAGATAGGACACTCCTCCGCGCATGCGCAGTGCGGCACTCCGATCCCCAGCGCTTCAAGCCGTAGTGCGTTTGTTGTGTCTGCTGGTAAGTAGGTCAGTATTTATTATCATAATAACACATTGTTTTTAATATTAGGTTACAGCCCAAAGGATCAGTATTATATATCGGAAGTGTTTGACGTGTGTGAAATCTGCGCTGGATGTCATATATTTAAAATAAGGTTTTACACATCTCCGTATACCGGGCAAGATGAATATGATTAATAAAGTGCATTGAATAATCGTACAGGGAGGCTCCGATGCTGCAGTCATGCGCTGTTGCGTTAACATCAGTCATGTTTTTAGATGAACGTGCAGTGATGATAACGCACGTTCATCAAAATCATATCGAAAAGCTTCCGACGAGTCCCTCTGTCTATTTCTTATTTATGCTTCCTGTCTCTGTGATTGCTGATCTTTTTTAAACTTTGAGATTGCTAGTGTTTATTATTAAAACATGCTATGCTTTCGCACTAATACACCTGCGTGGCTCCAGTGCTATATATTTTCAGTTTTAGGGAGCTGAATGTATGCATGCATGTATTACTGGGTCAAAACAACAGAACCCCTGTTGGTTCTTCCTACTGGTGCTATCAGCAATTATAAGACTGATCATGCACAAGCTTCATGCCATGCTAGTGCTGTTTACAATGCCTGCTCAACTCTTCCCATCCAGTAATAATGGAAAGGGGAAAAAAAAAAAGTCATTTCTTGTTCGTAAGTAGAATATTTTGTTAGACTATTTAATTAATATAAATAATATTTACTTAATATATATATAAAAAAAAACATTTATTTTTATTTTATATTTTATTTTGACTTCACACCAAATGCTGTTTAGATGATGAAGTCCTCAAGACAGGAACTTGTATTATTTATGCCCATGCAAATGTTGTAGTTTGATCTCAGTAGTGACACATTTCTATTTGCATTTTGGTTATGTTGTTACCAAGTTTGAATTCAATCAAGCAAACAAAAGTACACTGTGCTGAGTATTATATTACATAATAAAATGTGTTCGACCTAACTTTACGTTTTTATGGTTTCCACCACAAAAAAAAAAAAAAAAAGGTAATTGCAACTTTTTATCTCACAAAAATCACTAAAGTGGATCAAAAAAAGGATTTGAATCCACTTTGAGTCCAGTTTCAGTGTGAATACAAAAAAGGGGCTTCTTTTCAGTTCACTTTTGGGTATTGGCTTTGTTTTATTTAATTGAGTTAATTTTCTAATATTGGTTTTCGATATAGCTTCACTCATTTGGCAGAATGGCTCTGATCTCCATTGAGGATCTCGACGGGCTGGACGATGACATCACAGACAGCTCTGAGCCAATGGATGAGGAGGAGCAGGACCGGATGCACACGCACTGGCAGGCGGTGGGAAGGACACACCAGGTGTCTGTTCCCAGAGGTACGAAACACACTGAGCTGCGAGAGACATTTACATGGACACGGAGTAGGACCAGAAATGACACTGGCCGATCTAGTGAAATCATAAGAGAATCCAATGTAATCCTTATAGATCAAGCTGCTTTCAGACCTGCAGTGAACTGACTCTAGTTTTAATGTAGAGATGAGGGACCCATTGAGGAGATGACGAGGAGGAACCAGACCTCAGAACGAGAGCAAGTGCCTTCTGTCACCATCTCCAGACACGAGAAGGTAAAATCAGCCAGTGTTAGTTTGTATATCGCTGCTTCTTGAAACATGGGGCAAAATATGTCTACAATGAGGAAAGCAGCAGCATTTCAACTTTGAAGTTAATTGGAGATTAACTAAAACCTAAAACTAAAACCTTGTTAAAAACAGAAATATTAATATCATTAAAAAGAAAAAAAAATGGTTGTTTTAAATGTGTGATATGTAAAATATGGTTATTTTGTCAACACCATCAGCTGACAGATTTTTAATTGGTTGAGCTGAGATCTGTTTCAAACCATTCTGGATTCTTAATTAATTCTTAAAGCAAAAGCCATATTTTTTATTATTATTATTATTATTATTATTATTATTATAATGGTGCACTTTATTTTTGTATCTGTAGCACTTTGCCTAGTACTCAAGAAACGTACAGTATTTAGAGACATATTTAAAAGACGTTTAGCTGTTATTTAATGATTTTTACTAAAAAGACTTGTTTAATTGTGTTGACGAGCGTCTGTGTGTGTTTGTGCAGCTTGGCGAGGTCTTATACGAGGAGAGACTGTATCCTCCAGGAAAATGGGCTCGTGTCAGTAAAGCAGACATGCTGTATGAGCAAAGCATCTCCAATGCTTTTATGAAACTCATGCGCTTCATCTGCAAGGAGAATTCAACAGGTGAACACAAACACACACACACACACACCCACCAGCTCAGTGCTCTACAGCAGGATAACATTAGAGGCCCAACCACAATGCAGTCCAGGAAAATGGGCTCGTGTCAGTAAAGCAGACATGCTGTATGAGCAAAGCATCTCCAATGCTTTTATGAAACTCATGCGCTTCATCTGCAAGGACAATTCAACAGGTGAACACACACACACACACACACACACACCCACCAGCTCAGTGCTCTACAGCAGGATAACATTAGAGGCCAAACCAAAATGCAGAAAATGAAAATTAATTCCCATTTAAAGAGAGCCTTTTAACCTCCAAACTATATTTCAAGTCGGTGCTCCGAGACCCCTGTCTTTTAATGCTTGGCCAGTTGTTTGACTCTGTGGCCAGCTGCTTAAACTGTAGTCTTACAAGTTAGTTTTCTGTTTTTTTGTTTATAACTTTAAAGCAAATGTATGTAGTTTTGTGTATCTTACAGGTAAATGAATTCACTCTCGTAAATATATCACTATCATAATTACAATGATAGCTGTACACATGCATTTGTTGCTGCCGTAAAACAATCCACCTTTTCTGTGGAGTTTCGTACCTGCCCACCAAACTTACACAGTCATAGAACAGATGTCTGGGAAAGAAACTGAAGCCATTCGCCTCAGAAGTCAGTGTACCATCAGAATGACTTTGAAGCTGATATTTCAAGGTAAAAACTTACGTGCAGTTGTCAGTTACATAAAAATGTAGACTGATCAATTCTGACAAGTAAGACTGATTACTCTTGGCTAACTGATATTTGGTCAAACTTAATGGATGTGCTTTTTGGAACTGGTCACATTTACCATTGTTTGAGGCATTGTTGTAGGCGAAATCCAGTCATTGCAGTAAAAATTCACGTGATCAGGAAATTTGCGTGAGGGCAAAAGATTTCCGCATGCAGATTTTGCAGTGGGTTCAAGTTGGTCTCACGGATTTGCCAAGTTGACCAACACAGATCTGTTTGGTTTGGAAGTGACTTGCGTTTGAGCTGTGCTTCACATATCACTACACTATTGACAGTAGACAACGGACCTATTTTGTCTGTGCAATTTCGCCGAAATCGCACCTTAAGCTGTACAGTTAGTTGAATCAAAATCAGGTGAACTGAACACCAGAAAATGTTAAATTAAAATAAGTGGACCAAAAAACGGATTTGAATTCACATAGAGTCCGAATTCACACAGACATTTTGCTAATATCACCACACCTTAAGCTGTACGGTTACTTGAATCAAAATCAGGTGAACTGAAAAAAAAGGGAATTAAAATAAGTGGGCTAAAACAACTCAAAAATCAGATTTGAATCCACATTGAGTCGTTTCAGTGTGAACGCAAAAAAAGGGCTTCTTTTCATTTCACTTTTAGATATTGGTTTGTTTTATTAACTTATGTGTGATTCTTATAGAAAGTGCACATTCTATTACAATATTTGTTGTAATAATCACCATGATTGTTTTGTTCGAAACGTGCAGTTTCCCAGTTTGCTCAGTTTAAGTCCTGTGTCTCCAGGACGGTACCTTGGCATGTCAGTACCTGTTGTGAATGAGATTAAGATGGCAGACGACGGCACTAACTTCATGAAGGACGTGTTGACGGCGTATTATCTGCCTGCTGAGTTCCAGGCCAGACCACCTGAACCAACCGATCCTGATATCCGAATCGTTCACAGAGACGCGATCCGCGTCATAGCCAGGTACACAACCACCCTTCCCAATGAGACCCTTGGAGCTCAGTTTTGTCACTAGTAATTCCTTTAGACCTGTTTGCACATCCTAGAACGATTATAGCTGAACCTTTCTTCCATTCTAGGGTGTTTTATGGCACCACAACGGAGGAGACCATCTCTCGTCAGATCAGCATCCTTTGGGAGCTTTTGGGCAGCTCCGAGGATGTTCTCCGAGACCGCTACATGGTAGCTGTTTACGAGAATCCCGGCGTGCCCCAGCGCAGAAATGAGATCTGGTTTGTTCGCCGTGGCCCGTGAACGTTTCACAGCTCACCTGTTAAGCCAGTAGAGACGTTTCACTAGCTGAATGTCTCAAAATGAAGGGGCGGAGCTTGTCACAATCAAAACCCATTTGTGACCCTGGAGCACAAAAGCAGTGTTAAGTCACTGGGGTATATTTGTAGCAATAGCCAACAATACATTGTATGGGTCAAAATGATTGATTTTTCTTGTATGCCAAAAATCATTAGGACATTAAGTAAAGATCATGTTCCATGAAGATATTTTGTAAATTTACTACTGTAAATATATCAAAACTTAATTTTTGATTAGTAATATGCATTGCTAAGAACTTCATTTGGACAACTTTAAAGATGATTTTCTCAATATTTAGATTTTTTTGCACCCTCAGATTCCAGATTTTCAAATAGTTGTATCTCAGCCAAATATTGTCCTATCCTAACAAACCACACATCAATGGAAAGATTATTTATTCAGCTTTTAGATTATGTATACATCTCAATAAATAAAAAAATGGACCCTTATGACTGGTTTTGTGCTCCAGGGTCACATTTATCCTTTTGTATTGTTGTGAATGCGATGCAGAAAAAAAAAAGTTTTTAATCGGTGAATAAAGAAACTGCAGTTTATCACACAATAGATATAGATTACACACCTTGCATTATTTTTTTAACTTGGATAGTATGAAGATGATTCATTATGCTTGCTGTGTTTTCTGCTTGATTTAAATATTATACACTACTTGAATTCACTTTCATTGTTCAGTTTGTTTTAGAGCAGAAAATGTTTTTCTAGGTTTCCCATAGTGCCCTAATATGGTGTCTGCAATGACTCGGATATTATGATATTCACAACTAAACTGAACCGTAAATCCTTCAATAATGGAATCTGTAGCTTGTTAGTTGCTTTAGGTGTTGATGGACGAACAGGTTCAGGTTTAAGAAAATGTATTTGTAGCTAGGTATTAAGATTTAATACTTATCATATATTTACAATTATTGTAATTTTAAGTAGTCATTTAAATTTTGTGTTTGAAAACTGTTTAAAATATATATTAAAATATTTTTTGTACTTTGTGTAACAGACTATCAAGCCATTTCTCAGACAATCATTGGTCAGAGCGTTTTATCTGTAAAACTCAGAATCTTCTACATTTTTATCTTATGGGCCAATCAAATGATTACCTGTTTGATATTAGTAGTGTATTCCAGTTTAAACCAGGCATTTCCCCCGAGTTCAGCAGTAGTTTGGTTTTTTACGGGTATGCTTGTTGATGTCTTTTCTTCAGATGGAGTCTACAAGTCTAGTATATCTAAACACGGCTTTTTCTCCACATGATTCCTCGCTTTTGTGACATTGATGGCTTAGGTTGTACTTTTAATTGAGGTTTGCCTTGTCCAAGTATTTTAAAACTTGCACACTCCCCCTCAAGTCTGTAATAATACTAATAAACTTTATTTTAAAAACACTTGGTATATTAACGTGCTTTACAAAGAATTTAAAAAGTTGATTAAATGTATTGAAATACAAAGCAAATGGTTTAAATGGTGTTTAATTGTTGTCGTGGATAAATAAAGCCCGAACTTGTGATGAATACGTTTAAAATAAATCATTTACTTGAACTATTAAACACGGCTCTCAATTATGGCGCGCTGCAATTCCGTTTTTCGCCACAGATTTACACCATAGAGTTACACTGGACAAAAGCGGGGCGCTGTTGAGCTCGAGAGGACAGCACTAGCGTTACACATCCTGCCTGAAGACATGCGCTAAATTTGATTATGTACTGTACAACTCTCCTTTTGACTTAAAATAGTATAAAAACAACGAAAAATATCTGTTGCAGAAACTAAACTCATTTGTGACCTCACTAAAATGCATCTTATGAAGCAGTTCTTCATTAAACTTCACCCACCACAGGATGTCTGGTAAGAAGTGTAAAATTTTAAAAATGTTCATCCACTCGTACTGGTTGAGTTTAAAAATGTATGTTAGTTTAATAACTGAACACAACATTTCATCTATAATATGAATATATAATAATTCAGTCTGTAAGCCATCATAATCAGCTAATGGATAAATTATTATTTAAAAAAACTGATACAGTTGAGAGGGTACTACATATAGGATACTGTGGCTTCATAGGCTACATCTGAATGTATGCTTATTTCCTTACTACATAAACAGTATGTGAAAAGTGGTTACAAATTACAGTATTCATAAAACGGTAGGCAAAAAGTACCTGGATGACCTACTATTTCGGATGAGATTCTGAGGTGCACATCCGATTTGACACTTTACTGTCCCATGAGGCCATGGGAGAAGAAGATTTGTGAATGTGAAGCAACTCAATGCCGTAGGTCACATGACAATGACAACATGATAAATGTAGTACATCCGGATTACATTCATAGTACACACATTCATACTATAACATACTTAGTCGCTAAGTAGTTCCTTATTTATCTACTCAGAACGTATGTGATTTCAGATGCATGTAATCCAGTGTTTGAATTGAGGGGGAGCTGGCGGGGTCCAGGACCTCCCATAAGCATTAAGGGACCCCCCATAACACCCAAAAAATATACTTGGGGGGTCCCCTGGTTTTTCAATAAAACTTGAATACTTAAAAGGAAATTTCGATTGCTGTATTAAATTTAGACCTGGTTATGTTACATTATATTTTATTTTTACGCATTTTTACAATGTTGCTCATTATAACCAATCACACACGATTCTGTTGAGTTTAGGAATGCAGTAGCCAAACAGAGGCGTTCAAACTAGTCATCGCTGAAACCCCAGAGTTTTGTTCAGACAGAAACTCGCAAATTCCCTCATCATAAGCAACAAAGTGCTGATGTAGGTACGATGTAAGTTAGAGATTAATTTATCATACCGTGTATGGACAGCTTTATTGATCATGAGAGGAGTTATGAGTGCTTAAACACTAGCTAGACTGAATGCTCATTTAGAGTGTGTTATTTCACTGCATGATTCGGTATAATAAAATGCATTTAGAATGCTCCCAAAATTCAAGATATGGGGTCAGAAAATGTATATATTTATATCATTTCATATAGTTGATCAATATCACACAAAGAGTGCCATTTTTTCGCAAAAATCACAAATGTGATATTGATTTTATACAACAGTTCAATAATCAAGAAGTTAATATTAAGAGAATTACGTTTTAGACACCACATTGCCTATTTTTTGCTCTATGTCGCCAACAAAAATGGTTCCAAACAAAGCCACAGCACTGTTTTGCGTCTGAAAAACATGACAGTGTTTCGTTCCTGAATGAATCAACTGTTTGTATGATTCGGTTCAATCGCAATGACTCACTTAACAGTGACTTGCTGCCACCTACTGGCGGTTTTAATTTCACATTTTAAAGTGAATGTCATTTCAAATATCAGTATTCAACGTTTTAAGATTATAGTTTTAGTTGACTATAATAACCCTGAAGAAATACACACGTAATACGAAGTCAATATTTTAATAATTTGCTTTGGCTTCAGTACAGTAACAATATAATAATAGCCAGTTATTTAATTTTGCAAACACTGTCTTATATATAATGTTGTCTTTACCTTTCATCACACTGTATAAATGGGACTATATGAAATATTTTAGATCATATTTGGGGGTCTAATTGGCATCAAACAGTTTGAAAACCTCTGCTCTAATGGATGAGTGCACTGTAGAAAAAAATTAATCTGTGGAAAAAGTCCTGGTAATTTCCTGCCAGGATTGCTATACATAATTGCAATGCAATACATAATTCAAAATTTGGGTAAAACAACTGTGAAAAATACATACAGAAAATTCCTTCATATTTACACAGTACATTGGGCCCTAGTTTTCTCTCCATCCGCAACATTCAGTGCAAACATTTCGGTGTTTGCAGAAAGCTTCTCTGCACAGGAGAATCCAGAATGATAATCTAAGATTATTCTATAACATAAATTTGACGATCGTGTAGGACTGAGCACTATAATGAAGGACATCTGAACCCCCACCTCCATGATACCTTCAGTAGAATTATGAAGGCTAAAGCTTTTAGTGAAAGAAACAAAAAATCCACTGACATCTTTCTGATGGAACTAGTTGATCAGTGGAGGCTTGCGCGGGGAAATCGCGCAGTTTCTGTAACGATGGCGCCGACGGTGATGGCTGCCTTCCGTGGCGTGCTCCGCAGTTGTTTTTATGTTTTTGTTAGTTTGTCCTGTCTTTAGTTATATCCCTGCAATCAGTTTCACCAGAGACGAATTGCTGGACATTCGGCAGTACACACCACCCGATATTTCACCGGTTTTCGACTATTCTGATGTTTTGCTGGACAGTAGGTAGGTGTAGTCGGGGGAGCTGCGGCGCTGATCAAGCGCTTCAGGACGCGCAGACGGGGGAAGCGAGCCGGTGCGCTCGTGAAGCTCAGACAGCGCGGATTCAGAACGCCGTTGCTGAGCATCCATCTGGCGAACCTCCGCTCTCTACCCAACAAAACGGACGAACTCCTTCTGCTCTCCCGGACAAATAAGTATTTTTCAAACTAAACTGTCTATTGTATTATACCTGCACATACAATTTTCGATTTATATATTCTTATTCCTTATTTACTTGTTCTATTTTTTATTTTTTATTATCTGTGTTTTTTGTTCTGTCACTGTCATTCTGTTACACTGTGGAAGCTTCTGTCACGAAAACAAATTCCTCGTATGTGTAAACATACCTGGCAATAAAGCTCATTCTGATTCTGAAGCCTGTACTGTAGAGACACTACCAGCTTCCAAATCACAACATATAGTGGTGGATGGACTTCCCTCTGGTTACGTATGCTGGTTACTTTTCCAATCTGCGTCCCACAAACAGCACACTTCGGCTGCATCTGAAAACTGAAAAGTGCTGCCTCTGGCACGTTCGAATCCAGTGATCGTGTCACAACCTGAGATACCTTCATCTCATCCATCTTTGAAGGCAGCATAGATGTATCCTTCGTGTGTTCCTTTCCATGAAGGTTGAGCTAAAAAATAAAGATGTGTCTGAAAGTTGGGGTTGTTGGTCAGTTTGTGTGTACATGTACATTTCTGGTCAACTTTTTCCACTTTTGATGTCATTTCTCACGGGAAATCAGTATTGTAGCAATTAAATATTCACTTGGTTATTACCGAAGCTCTCTGTTTTCTTGTAGATCATTCAACTGTTATACTGCCTCAGAAGCCCATCCTAAATCAGTTTTGGGAGGTTCCTTTGTGCACAAATGCTGCCTGCAGAGTCGTTGTCTGATAGGGCAGCGATGCAAGTCAGCATTCATGTAAACATGTGGTTTTGTGGACTTACAATGGCCACCGCAAACTCTGCCAATAGTCAAAGTGGCATTACGTCACAAAAATGTGGACTCCGAGGAAGACCACAAGGGCTTAGGATGCCATTTGGGAAAGGGCCATTTAGTCCACTTTAATTTGCAAGCTTGCATTCATCTGCATCCACTCTTGTGTGCAACGCCCACATCTTAAAATCCAAACAACAACCAATTAATTGAACTCACCCTGCATTTTTCTTTGTCGATAATCTGGTCCACTTGGATGTACGTCACAGTATGGAAGAGAAGATCTGTTGCTTCTTTCATTTCATTGCAACTTTAAACAGTTGCACTTGTTTTGTGCACGAAAGTTCCAAGACAAAAATGTGGCTCAATGAAAGAAAGGCATTTTATTACATTCCCATAACTTGGAAATCGCAGGAACCCTGAGCGTGCACATTGCAAATGCTTGAAAATAAACACTTAAAGAATTACTTCTTTTCGAATAGTTCACCCAAAAATGTAAAACAAACAGTTGACGGTAGCCATTGACTTCCATAGTATGGAAATAATACAATGGAAGCCTATGGCTTCCGTCATCTGTTTGGTTACTAACATTCATCTTTTGATTACATTCATTAGTTTTTCTTGTCATGATAGCCACATATAGGCCTAAAATGTTTTACAACAACAGTGTAGCCACATGGTATATAAAACAGTTTTAAGGAAAAAGACAAGAAAAAAAGACACAAAATTACAATGAAATAAATTATAATGCAACTGATGTTTTTTTTATATTATTGAAGAAATGAATAAACATTACAATCAATTTTAACAATTAAGTCCACATACACAAGAAAGAAGAACAGCATTTAAAGGGTTAGTTCACCCAAAAATGAAAATTAACCCATAAATTCCTCACCCCCGAGGCATCCTAGGTGTATATGACTTTCTTCTTTCAGACGAATCCAGTCGGAGTTATATTAAAAATTGTCTTTGATCTTTCAAGCTGTTTAATGCCACTCAGCAGGTGTTGCATGCATCAGTCCAAAAGAAGTTAAATAAACTCAAACTCAACTCAACTCAACGGCTTCGAGGGGTGAACAAAGGCCTCCTGTAGCGAATCGATGCATTTTTGTAAGAAAAATATCCATATTCAAAACGTAATAATCACTTTAATGTAGCTTGCGCTCACTGTTGTACACGGAAGCAGCTCCGGGGGAATGACGTATGAGTTCAGCGCTGCGCATGCGCAGCTCAGAAGTCACGAACGGTGAAGCGCAGCGGAGAGATCGAAACAAAACAACGGTCACTAATTAGAAGTACAAAAGTACCAGGACTTGTAAAGAAGAATGTCGGAGGAGTTCGATATAAGCTAAGAGGAGACTGGTTTTCCTTTGCTCAAGTAAGGAAACTTTGCTTCCTTTAAGAATAAATAAATAAATAAATAAAATAAGTAATAATAATAATTTAAAAAAACATACATATAAACAACTAAACATAGTTCAAATCTTCTTCCATCCACAAAATCAAGGACTACAGTGGGGGAAGAATACAAGAAAAAAAAAACTCCTCCATGAAATTTAACACTATGTCATTCTTTTTGTTATTAATTTGATCAAAGATTCCATTTCTAATAAAAGTAAATTACATATTGGTATGCATTTTGCACATTTTTGTTTATGAATGTAATATTCACCTTGCAAAATGTAAAAGTTAACGACATAATCATTTTGTTTTTGTGTGAATAAGTGCAAATAACATCTTTTAAAGGGGTCATATGATGCTGCTAAAAAGAACAGTATTTGGTGTATTTGGTGTAATGAAATGTGTTTATGTGGTTTAAGGTCCAAAAAACACATTATGAGAGCATGTCATTAACATTTCTTTGAACAAATAAAAAGGCACTAACATCAGACCAAAATCTAAAAGACAAGTATTTTGAAATGTACCTCTTTAACTTTGTTCAAAATACTAAATTTGCAAGGATTTGACCAGGCCGCTTTCCAATTAATGTCCGGAATTCTTTCATTCCAAAAGATTTTATGTTTTGATTGAAACATTTGTCTTTGTTATTATTACAAGAGGACGTAAATATTTCAATACCATCAACTATTAACTCTGGAAGTTTCCTTTCATCACTTCCAAAAGTGAGGTGATTATGTAACAAGTGCATCAACCCGTTTGGAATAGCTTTAACAACTTGCTGAAATTCTTTAAAGTTGTAAAAACGCATCAAGTCTTCATAAGACAGAATGTTTCCACTGAACTGAATCCATAACATAATATATACAATGCAACTGATGTTTTTATTATTATTATTATTATTATGAACATTATGTCAACCAACCAATCATGTTTTTTATTTTTTATTTTTTTTAAATGCTTTATTAATTCAATGCCACAAGAACATGAGGTATTACATATTCACATGATCAAATTAACATTATTAGCTGCCAGAGAAAAGAAAAAAAGGAAGAAAATTACATAAAGTTCAATGCGTTCACAGCATTACATGTTTTCAATGCTTTTTTTGTTTTTTTTTTGCTCTAAGAGATTTACATATAATTTAAAGTCATTTATAAAATGTGCAAAATTTGGTTTATATTGAGCCCACTTCTTCTTATGTATATGGAATTTCCCTAACAAAATAAACAAATGTATAATATGTTGTTCTTTACATTTCAAATTTTCGTTTTCTGTATAAAAATGTACATCAAATATACAAATTTCTATCATACACTCTATTTTTCTGTTGATATAGAATTCCACATCCTACCAAAATAATCTCGTGTAAATACAATGAAAAAAAAAGATGCAAAATAGTTTCTTTTTCTTGACTACAAAATTCACAGGTAGCCTATACGAAATATTAAGCTTATATCTTTCCAAAATCTTTTAAATTCGATTAAGTATTTTGTAAGACACTTCCTTGATTTTGTTATTGATACAAAACTTATTTGGCAGTTTCCATGCTTTAACCCAAGAGATATTACCAAATAAAGAAGACCACAACAATCTTGCTGCAGGTAGGGACACAGAACAAAGAGCACTCCTTATAATCGTATTGCTACACTGTACCAATAATGTTCCGTTCATTCCGAGAGCGCACGTGACGTCACAGAGCGCTGCGGGTCTGCAACAAAACTCGAATAATTCTATTGCATGTAAGACTCTTTCATGGTGTAAGTCTTATAAGCTAACATAGTATGCTTTGGAGTATTGTTTGTAACCCTTATTGTCTTTTGTTCTTACTTGTCTTTGTAATTGTATTTGCTGTTCTTCTATTGCATAATAAAAAAATAAAATACAAAAAAAAACAATTGATCTGGAAAGGTCCAACAGAGGGCAGTCATGATGAAGAACACGTTATTTGAGACCAGTAGCTATTCTTTAGTAGGCCTACTTATGCGGCTGTTTTAAATAACGGTGGCTATAATATGAATGCATTCGGTCACTTGAACAGAGTGAGAGTAACCTGTAAGAGACTGGTGTCAGCGCTCTCCCCTCACCTTCCTCAGCCCCGTAGAGCCCACCCACCCGAGAAACACGACTCCAGACCCAGCGCTGGCTCAAACACACGCTCAGAGGGGCTCTTTGTCTCCATTTCGAGGAGATTTCTGGCGAATTCAGCATGGAGCGCCTGACACATCCAACCAAACCCACAGCTCCGCACTAACCGGTGTGAACTCCTGAAAGACCGACTCGCTTCGAGGAAACTGGATTCTAGCGTTTATACAGCCTGCGATTGCAGTATTTGTACATACATGAACGTTTGAGCCTTTAATTAATACCCGTCGCCTTTATCGACCTAAACCATGGGTTTCTGGACGAGAAGACGCGAGCGCAAAGTTCCGAGCGCCGCGCGTGTTTTCCTGGCGTTCACACTGATCGCTGAAGGTAAGAATGCGTGCATCCCTCCGCGAGCGTGCGGAGTACAACATGTTTCTAGTTCTTGCGTGGAGCAGGAACTTCATATGTGCATAAATAGTTTAGACTTGGATGTGCATGATACTATAAACCAGCGCGAGGGTTAGTTGCGCGGAGACTCGTATCTGGATTTAATCCGGATTTAGTGGAGTTTGATGTGAGTTTACACAAACCTCCCAGTCCTTGTGTTAGCAAATGCAAGACTTAAGTGCTTGTGGGGGGTCTCTCTCTGCATGAGAGACTTTTCATAGTCTCTCATGCAGAGACTCATGTTTTATATGAATGAATCGATCCACCCTCTTTTTCCGGAAATTCGAGTACAGTAAGGAGGCCTGTAAATAACATTTGCATAATAGTCTGTAAAAGGAGACCAAGAAAGGAGAAACGGGTCTGTCTTTTTATCTGTACTAGACAGGGTGTTTGTAGTAACGTCATGAGGTAAAACACGAGCTGAATATCAATTGCATCTACTTAGACTCCTTGAATATTAATTACACTTTGCTTCGGTCAAGTACAAGTTTATTTAAATATACGCATCGTGTAGGCGTAATTGAAATTCCAGCGAAAAGAAATAAGATGTGCTAAGTAAATTAAAAGTCAAGGTATGATCTATAAATATGTCTAAAAAGTCCACTGTGTGAGATCCTCATCTGTTGAGTTTTACTGGACTTCGCATAGGTTCCTCTGCAGCCTCCTCCAGCAGGAGTGAACCGTCACATCTGCGTGGCCTTGAATGAAATATGCTTGGCCTGAGCTGGAGTTTATCTGGAGGGAGTTTTGGGGAGGTGTAAGATGTTAGACCTGAAGCTTCTCTTTGGAGGACCATTAAAAGTGGTGCATGATGTTCTGTGGAGTGACCCATAGCTGAAAGAGGTTTCTGTTTGGATCTCCTGAATAACTGAACCCAGGAGACGTGACCACAGGAGTGTTCGTGTGTGTCTTTCCTGAAAAAAAAAAACCAAGAGGATATGCTTACATGTTTTCTACTGGAGTTTCCAGCGTAATTTGTAACCAGTCAAATCCAGATCAAGATCCTCCTGGATAAACGGAAAGTTCTACAAGATTTGTTGTTCGTTTTCGATTTTTAGAACTTGCATATGGAAGTCTTGCTACTTTTGTAGTCAGAACTACATTTAGAATCCTGAAGGATTTCTTAAGTCTTTTTGATGTCCTACAGTGACAAACTTTATTAGTTCAACTCGAACTGTGCTTTCTAAAAGATCTACTGTTTATTTTGCCTTATATTGGAGTTCAGCCAAAGTTCCCATTAGGATTCTTCGATTATACACTCTTAAAACTAACAGTTTCAAATGTGGGTTTTCACAGTGATGCCATAGAAGAACCATTTTTGGTTCCCACAGTACCTTTCAGTGATCAATGCTTAAAAGAACCATTCTTTTTACTTAGCGTGAAGAACATTTTAATAATCTAAAAAAAAACTTTTTCCACTTTAAAGAACCTTTTGTGGTTCCATGGATGTTTAAGGTTCTTCATGGAACCATCGACGCAAAAGAACCTTTATTTTTAAGAGTGTAACAGAAATTCCGAGTTAGTTTTTGACTGTTAGAGATAGCTTTGGTCATTGTAGGAGTGCGGGACGGCCTCGGGGCCCATAGAAGAAACTGCAGCATTTGCATGAAGACTTTAAAGATAAAAGGGTGGAGGGTAGAGACATTTCACAGGTACTTGAGGGCACTGCTTGATCTCGGGGACAAGGGGGATCATCTCCTGTCTTTCATATGCTAATCACAGACAGTCTGGGAAGAAATATCCCCTGCTGCGCAACGTGAAGGTGTGACTCTCTGTGGCCATCAGGGCTGTTTGTATATGCGATTATGTTTTAGGTATGTCTCAGTTTCACTGGATTAGATGATTTTCCATAACATATTGGAAATTCTCGTCTTGATGATATTATCATAATCATTTACTTCATGGTCTTTTTAAATGTCACTCTAACAGGAGAAAAGGGAAAACAATGTCTCATAAATTATGAATGAGAAGACTTAGTATTGTAATTGTGTCTGACTATCCAGTAGTTTATGTTTTTTTTGTCAGAATCGACTTGAAGGATTTAACCAAACACAGATCTTTAAGCAAATTGATCTTTGTTCAGAAATATTCATAAGACTCGTGTTGTTGTTCTGTAGTTTAGAGTAGTTTGGCTCTGGCTGGTGGACTTTTGGCCATAATTACATGTATATTTAAGGCTTTTCATAGTCTTTCATGCAGAGAAGTACTGTGTTTCCATTTGCTATAAATTTATTGTTTTAAAAAAAGTACTAAAATGAAAATTTTTCGGACAATTCGGTTTTTTACTTTACAATTCAGAATATTTTCTTGACAATATTCCCTTAAATTCTCACTGTAATGCAAAAAACATCCAGTTTGTTTATAATAATTATAAACAAATTCTACCATTATGCATACTTGCTTAACACATTTACAGTTTAAGTAGTAGCCTATTCAGCTGTTGTTGTTGTTTTTTACAATACAGTAACAACAATAATATCTCTTTGTGTTAATGAGAATAATTAAAAATGTAATTGTTATAAAAATAATGCAAAATGCCCTTAAAATATCCTTAATGTCTTTAAAGTGGGCCAAATGTCTTGTTTTGTGGAGGTGGACATTGTTTTCATGGGACTTTTATTTTTAAATGAATGATTCTTGTTATCTTGTTAAAGCATGTCGTCTGCATACTTCAAGTACACGTCAGGTCAAGATGAATCCCTTTTCTCAGTTGTGGCATTGCCACCTGTTGCCACTTATCGAATTCGTTTTTTTTGTTTTTTGTTTTTGCATTCTGTTTGATCGAGTGGAAGAGAAGAGCTGAACTCCACATGAGACGCAGCAGCTGTTTTCCTGCTCAAACACTCTGAGAAGACCTTCACAGTACAGCGTCTGCAGGCTTGCTTTGAATGTAAAATGCCACTATTGTTGAGATCCCACAGGTCTTCAAGGAAGTTCACACTTGCTGAGGAGGTGAAGCCTTTTGTGATGTCGCTCATTGTCCTTTGTTTGCAAGGTGAAAAAAAACGAGGACCTTTAAGATTTGACCAGTTTAAGTGCTTGCACTCATTCTTTATTATTACTATTTTTAACGTTTATACTATGATATAACGCAATTTTTGGTGAGAAGTGCTCCCTGCATCACCTTGAATAAACAACGTGGAGGCCATGTCAAGCATGTCTCAGCTGGTTTGATTCTGATGAAACTTCTCATTGAATCAGAGGCGGGCAGCTGACAGCGTGCCTGTTTGATCTCTTTCTTAATTAACTTCTGGAACAGCAGCCTCTGAGATGCCTTAAAGCCGCTCTGAACGGCAGTGATGAGATGCAGAGGTCTTGGCGTAAAAAGCGGGGACACGTTTATCTTGGAGCCGGTTTCAGGAACGTGAGCCCGGCTGGGTTTTATGGTAATGTTGTGCTCGTGTATCCATGAGATAAGATAGCTCAGTTTAAAAGGTTAAAATTCTGAAAATGAATAAATGTTTGGTAATTATGATTAGAGCTAATGCTGGTAAAAAAAATCGACGTCACTGAAAGTAGACTTTTTTTTTTTTTTGTCCTTTATGGACCTACAGTATGTGTAACTTTTTTTAATTGATGCACAAGGGTTAAAGTGAAAACGTAACGCTGAACTGTTTTAGACTTAAAGTAACGAATGTAAAGCTTGTGTTTTATTTGAGCTGTTAAAATGAGGTAAGTTTTTTAGTCAAATAAGCTTGGAATTCATGTTTTTGGATTTTTCTCAATGTAAAAGGTCGCTCTATGGTATTGTTGCACATATTATGCAAATTTTACTATGTTTACTGGTTTGACATTGCAGGAGTTGAAATATTGGATATACCTTTTCAAGTCCACCAAGTGATTTTATCTCATGTTAACATGTAATTTTTAGGTCTGTACTTGGGCATAATTGTGTATATCAATGTTTTGCCACATAAACACCCATTGAAAGTGTGTTGCCATAATATATATATATATTTTTTTAAATAAACCAAAAATGTTTTTTTTTGGCATAAACTCTCGTGTTGTTCTAAACTATTTGCATTTCTTTATTCTGTGGAGCACAAGCAGGTAGACGTTTAAAATATAATCTGAAGTAGTGCAAATGAAAATGAATGAATTCTTTACCTGCTGTCTGAATGTAATCTGCACCGTCCACCCGGCACCCAATCACGTAACAGAAACCGCTGTCTCCTCTACTGTAAACCATTCGAGTCACAGGTTTGGCCAAGACTTAGCCAGGATTCTCCAATGGTCTGCTAATGATTTTCACAAGCTGTTCTTCAAAACCGTAATTCCATCATCAGGGAAATTTGTTTGACCAAATGCAATTATCTGCTTGTGATGCGTACGGCATATGTGAAAGTTTCCATAAACCATATACGTAATCCCTCAGAGTTATAAAAATAAAACTGGTTTTCCTGATCAGCAAAATATTCATTGCTAGTGTTCTGTGAGTTTGGGTTGGATTTTGGGTCATATTTCATCTCAAAATTTAAAGGGGTCATATGATGCTATTTTAAAGCTCATTATTTTGTGTATTTGGTGTAGCAGAATATGTTGACATGCTTTAATGTTCAAAAAACACATTATTTTTCAAATACTGTACATTATTGTAGGTCCTCTATGCCCCGCCTCTCTCAAACGCTTCGTTTTCTACAAAGCCCCCTCCTTTGACAAGCGCAGTCTGCTCTGATTGGCCAGCTGACCCAGTGCATTGTGATTGGCCGAACACCACAAGCACGCGTCGGAAATGTAATGCCTCTTACCATAATCGCGAGCTTCATCTTTCAAAGTAAATATCAAGACAGTTAATAATGTCGTTAGTTTTACCATCAGTTCAAGCCCGAAAGGGCAACAGAGTCGCGTGACAGACACAGTGATGATGCAGTACACAAGCCGCGGTTAAGACAGCTGACGTGCTATGATTTCTGACAGACAGTTCACTCTCCTGTGATGTG